TTTTGTCCTACCCAATTGGAATTCCTACTGTATGATTTGTGTCATATCTATCTTTCTATTTTCAGCATCAATCATGATAATTTGATCATAGTAACCACCTAATAAATGTTTGTTAAATTGAAATGAATCAGACTAAACAAACCTGCCACAATAATCATAATACAATGTATTTCACAACCAATATGACTTAGGATCTTTTAATATTTTGAGTAATCTTCACATTTCTTCCTTACATAATTTCCTTTCCCACTTATTGACTCTTACTCTAAGGAATGCGGAGAATTTTTTTTTTAAAAGCAACAAATCTTGTTGTTAGTTGTATTCTGAAAGAAAAGGGGGCACTAAAAAAAGAAATCTACTTATCTACCTAAGTCCTAGGAAGCTCTTCCAAGCCCAATGACTCTGCTGAGATAATGCGGTGTAAACAGATACCACCACTGGTGCAGGAACCTGAAATGCAGGAAAGTATCTTTTGCCAAAGAGGAGAGCAAAGGAGAAGGGCTCCCAAAGCACCCAAATCCCAATAAGTGACAAATAGGTTCTTTTCAGTTTAAATATTTGGCCCCAAATGATAATAAGCTTCTTTTTTATGTATTCTAAGGAAAAAAAATCATTATGCAATACCTCATTTAACAGTGGTCTAAGGAGATCATGCTAACCTTTGTTATGATCCATGCTAAATTAGGCTTTTAGTAAAGTACCTCTTATTCAAGTGATATGCTATGAATAAAGGCATATCAAAAGCTATGTAACAAGGTAAAAAAATAAGGATGGCCAAGTCTATTAGCAGGACTAAGTTTCCCAACTAAGTGCAAATAAAAACTGTTCAGTCTACAGCCTACCATATGATCGTACTATTCTTTCTGGTATTGTTTTAAAAAGATTGTTAGTGTTGTTTGATAGAGTTCATTTAAAAAATTACATTTTGCAAAAAGTTGGCTATCATAATCAACATCTGATGTCAGTTTTCTTTTTATCTTTTAAAAAATAAAAAAGATGATTTCCAGGGGCTAGTGTTTGTTTATAAGGAGAAACATCATTACAGAAACTTATGCTTCTGTACTTACACATTGCAAGTAACAATGTGGAAATCATACACTAGACTTTAAATATATTCATTCTTAAAAGCTTTGAGTATGCAAACAAAGATGCAGTGGGCAGAGGGCCAGTTAATAAATCTCATTTCCCAGTAGCATCTGTGTAAAACATAGCTATGGGGAGTATACTCTCTAGGGAAATCCAGGGCACAACTCATTCTCTCCATGAATTAAAAGTGTCACCCTAGATCACCAATACAGCACTCATTTTTCCTAAGCACTTGTTAAAATATATGGATGCTTAGTATTCATAAATGTGGTGAGTAAGCTGGGAGCCAAGAAGGAGAAACTGACCCAACAGTGGGCAGAAGCTGTGTAAACAGGTCTACACTGTTTAGCAGTGCCATTTTAGGCTCTGCTTTGTTTATGCCAGTTTCTTCTCAACAAAGCATCCTGGGTCTCACTAATCAAGGAACACCATTTTTTGGAGGGGGGCACAACTTGGTGTTCTCATTAAAGCGTACACCTACTCCAGTAATTATTAGCAACAAGGTGGATAGGCAGCTAGATCAAAGAACACATTAGATAATATGCTTAATGCAGTACACCTAAGGCACATATGAAAATAAAGGCTTCTACTGGCCTTAATTTAAAGGCATGGTAGCTTTCCTGAACACTTGGAGAACATGCTAGACAGAGGAAATAGTTTATAGTCCATTAATCAGTTGGTCCTTTTCCTTTCTGATCTGTAAAAACTGGTACCTAGACCTAGGGCTCTTGCTCTATTAGTTCTGGTGATTTTATCTAACCATAAGATAATAAAATCCTCCCCTCTCAAAAATTATAATAGTGAACATTTATAAGTCCTCTAAAGTTTTCCAAGTATTTTGCATATTTTTTTGGATGTTTACAACCAATCTGTGAGTTAGGTGCTATTATTATCTCTACTTTACAAAAATCAAGACAGCTGAGGCCTAGTGAGGTTAAATGTCTTGTCCACGGTCACACAGCTAGGAAGTATCAGAAGCAGAATCAGAATCCAGTTCTTGATGATTCCAAGTCCAACACACCACCCACCATTACATAATGTCTCTCTGTTGCTAAGTTACAGAAATGAAAATAGGGTGAAGGGAAAGGAAGGTAGGAATCGAAAAGATAGTAAAGAGATCAAGAGTTGAAAGCGTTTTTTGGCCCTCATTTAAGGCTGCCAGTCTCCCAACCCTTATCTCATTACTTAGGACTACATCAAATCTCTAGCCAAAGCCGGGTCTTAGCTTGGCTACAGTCAGGCTTTCAACAGACATTTAATGTTTCCTTAGCAATGAATTGAGTAAATTATTCTGAATCTGCAACCCTAAATTGATTATGTAGCAGAGTGCTAAAATGTGTCTTATTTTTACCTCCCTTTCCTATTACTCTTCTTCCTCCTCTAACTCTATCCTCCAGAAGCAGCCAATACTATATATCACACAGGGTCTCCACACTACAAGGCACACAGGATAATGTCAACCTTAAGAGTGTCTTGTATAACCAACCTTCTGACCTATGATATAAATCCTATTATTTCCAGTAAACCTATTGGATATCATGACAATACAATATTCTCAACAACCTCAGCATTTGGCCAGATGAATCTTGTTTATAGGGTTTCTCAGCCCATTACGGGCAGTTGAGAGGAATTGCTGGCCATAATTCAGTGTAAACAAAGATTTGAGTTCACTTTAAAGTGACTGACTATTTAAAATCAAACCTAGCTTTTACATTTTACTTTCCTGCCAAGGGATTTTCCATTTCAACAATTAAACAAATATTTCTTATATTCCATTGAAAATTTCAAGTCAGTTCAAAGAAGTTATAAATTTCTGCCAGGCAATTTCCAATGGCCCATGTGGTAAACGACAGGCTTCCCCTAAAATGAATGTTACATGGTAGGAATTTAAATCATTTAGGAGAAACATAGGCTTCACATCTATTGCCAGTAAGAAAAGTTGAAATAAATAGCTAAACAAAAATCCCAATCCTGGGCTTTTAAATTCCTTTTAGAAACAGAAGCGTTCATATTCAACATAAGAGGAAAGGTAGGGAACAAAAACTCCAAATTTAAAGATATAAAGGCCTCTAGGAGAGAGTCTCAGAAAGTAATACCTAATTTTGGTTTATGTAAGGGCAGAAAAAGTACTTGGAATCCACAAGGATTGCAAGGATTCTGTATTAACATGTAAGTGGGACCCATGAGACATGAGATTTTTGTGACCTCATGGGTACTTTCAAGATGAACTTCCAGTAAGTATTTACCCAACTGTCAGAGATGATAGAGCAGACTTGCTTCTAAGTTTTGAAAAACTTAACAAATAACGCCTTCTTTTAGTTAATCAAATTGTAAGGAAGATGAGTACTCTGATTTTATTTTGTTATATGATTATATTTGTGAACATATTGTACCCAGTATATCTGAATGTTTAGACTGAGACTTTAAAAAAAAAAGCTGTTTCCTGTTGATCCCTGGAAGAAGATGGCTTTAGATGCATGCATGCTCTCTCTCAAAGCAAAAGCATTGTTAGCTGTTATCAAGGTAACTTTAAAAATAACTGTCCCAAGTACAAAAGAACTAGAGAGGAAATATGCCCTAAGGATGTGTTTTCCTTCAGATCCCTCAGCTCAGGCTGGCTACATATAGAACTCCAGCTTCACTCTCTACTACAACATTGTTATCCTTATCAAAACAATGCAAACAATTTTAACGAGCTTATCTACTAAAACAAACGGTCGGATATGTTAATTTGAAAAAGGCTGCTAACTGTATGGGCCAAAGCATTTCATCAAAAAGGCTTCTTTCTATACAATAACCAAAAGCAGCCCCATCCTCAAATCAGATACATGCAAATCCCCAGAAATCACCTCTTACTCTGAAGAAGAATTGAGCCCCCACCCCATATTTAGACCATAAACTCCCATGAAAATGGGGGGTGGGAAGCACCCTGTCTTTTGACGACTGCTGCAGCTCAATTTCTTTCAAAGAAACCAAGGGTTTTGTGCAGCAAATTTTGGTAAACGCCTGACACTATGACCTCTGCTGTCAATCCTTCCACCAATCAGCAAGCAGAATTCTTACAAAGCTCCATCAATCTGGCGGTTTAACATCACAGACTGCAGTTTAATCTAGAGGATTCTATTTTTTTCCCCCTGTGCGCGCACGCACACACACACACACACACACACACACACACACGCCCATTCACACACTAGGCGAGAGCAAGCACACGCCTTTCTGCTCCATCCAGTTTCCCTCTGATGTTATGGGCACAGTTAGCCAATGTCTCCTTAAAACATTTTTTTAAAGAGGAAGGAGGAGAAAGGAAGTGCTGCAGTCTGAATCCCTTCTGAAGGGGCAAAAAAAAAAAAAAAAAAAAATTAGCATGCATTTTTATCGATATGCAAAGGAGGAAAGACAGAGGGGGAGCTCCTGCAGACAGCAAACCTATTCACAAAATGCCTTCCATCTGGCCAATACAAATGGTATTTGAAAATGCTAAACCTCCCGGCATGCTCAAGAGGAACCATTAAAAGAGAAATAAATGATCATAACTGGCTTACATGAAATTATATACACATATATGCACATATATGTGTTAATTTATAACGCAGTCTTAGGAACCATTAAAACAGAAATAAGGATTAGAACTGGCTTAAATGAAATTACATACACATATACACACATGTGTAACTTATAATGCAGTCTTAGGAACCTTTAAAATAGAAATAAATGCTGACAAATGAAATTATGTACACGTACATATAGATGTATAATTTATAGTGCAGTCTTTGCCTTCGTTATATAATCCTCTGCATAACCCCCCCCCCCCCCCCCCCGCCTTGTTGCTGCAGTCCCCAAAGGCAGACACACACACACGCACATGTAACACACACACAGAGCTCTGGCTGGTAATGGCACTGATTGATTACCTGTAAGATCTCTCCCCACGCACTGTGTGCTTCCTGAAAGGAATGATGGTCCCGTTATCCTGGATGATGTCGTTGTTGTTCTCTCCATTTGGGGACAAGGTTTGGGTAGGACCAGGCATTGGAGCTCTCCCAACAATGAAAGCCAGTCTTTCCTTTGCTCCGGTGAGGAAGGTAGGCTGTGTCTGTCTTCCTGTCTCACCCTTCTGCTTTCTGCTACTGCTCCCCTCACTTGCTCACTGCCTGCCTGCCTGCCTGCCTGCCTCCTCCTCCTCCTCCTCCTCCCTGGTTTCCCTCCCTCTCCTCCCCCTCCCTTCTCTCCTTCCCTCCCTCTAGCTTGCTCCTCTCTCTCTCTCCCTCTCTCTCTCTCTCCCTCTCTCTCGTTGCTGACGTCAAACTGCCTGGAGCAGCACCCTGGTCATGTGACAATGTTCTTCACCATAGCAACCAGCTAACTCATCATATCTCCCCAATTCACACGGGGCTACAGGCATGACCACACCAAGACATCCAAACAGGCACCAGGGGAGGGGGGAGGGCAGGGCCTGCATCAGGGCGTGTAAAACACCCAAACCACCTCTCTCCGTCCCACCTCCCCCCAACCCCCCCCCAGCAGACTTGCCTTGTCTGAAAACCAGCTCTTCCTCTAACCATTTCCTTTCCATTGCATACTGAAACTGCAGCTGTGTACACAAAAGAAGGATTCAGGCAATGGGATGTGAGTGTGTGAGTGTGTGTGTGTGTGTGTGTGTGTGTGTGTGTGTGTGTGTAAGTAGGGGGACCTTTTAACTCCTTCATGACTAAGTTCTTTACACCATTAAAATGAAACCCAGGAAAACCCACTATTTCCCTGTAGGCTGCCCTGTAAGCTGCCAGTGGCTAAAGGCAGTTATTAACATTTACCCTTAACACTTTCTTCCACCCAGACAAAAATGAAACCAAAAAGAGCTTAGAACTTAAGAGGAAGGTCTAGTTCCTTCTACTCAACGTTGCATGTTACATTTACTTTGAATTTTGTGGCAAAGGTTGAATGCCAAAGGCACCCTATTTTTACAAAGGGATCCTGAAAGAGCACAATTAGAAAAGTGACCGGCATTTTTGAAATGCACAGCTACCCTGTGCCCCCAGACTCAATTCCCCCAAGGCCAACTAATCTGTATAAATGCTCCCATGCCGGTTTAATCTGTGGCTATTTTCATTTGGGTTAAAGAAAGACCATGCAGCACGAATGCAAAGTTGTGTGTGTTCAGGGAAGGCTCTACAAATACTGAAGACTGAAATTCAAACTGTTTTACGTTCACCATCACCAAAAACCACTCTTGACTGATTCAGTGTTAGTTACTCTGCCTTCTCTCTCCTTATACCCCCTCCCCCAAAAGGGCATTCCCCATCCATTAGATTACAATGCAGTCTCTAAGGATCTCTTCCAGGGAGCAGGCTGTGAATGTTTTAGTGATGCTGTGCTTACTGGAATCAGTGCCTGGGAGAGGCTGGGGAAGATGAAAGGTATTTTTGTAACTAGATAAATAAATATAAGTATGTATATGTGTATATATGCATATGTATATATGTATATGTATGTATATAGGAATGAAATGGCAAGCCACTCATATATATGTGTATGTATAGGTGCATGTATGTATATACATACATATACACATACATACATGAAATGGCAAATCACGCCAGTATCTTTACCAAGAAAACCCCATTTGGGGTCACTAAGAGTTGGTCACAACTGAGC